TTAAATAATATTTTTCAAGGATCAACTGGAACGTGGATTTTTTTAAAAATAATTTTTCAAGTATCAGCAGCAATGTGGATTTTTAAATAATATTTTTCAAGGATCAACTCGAACGTGGATTTTTTAAAAAATATTTTTTTAAAAACCAATTGAAAAGTGAATTTTCTTGGGAATATTTTTTCAAGACTTAACGGGAACGAGGATTTTTAAAAAAAGTTTTTTTCAACGTCCAATTGAAAAGTGATTTTTTAAAGAATATTTTTTCAAGGACCAACTGGAACGCGAATTTTTGATAAAATAGTTTTTCAAGGATCAACGGGAACATGGATTTTTTAAAAAATAATTTTTCAAGTATCAGCAGTAATGTGGATATTTTTTTCAAGGATCAACGGGAACGTGGATTCTTTAAAAAATATTTTTTTAAAAACCAATTGAAAAGTGAATTTTCTTGGGAATATTTTTTCAAGAACCAACTGTAACGAGGATTTTTTAAAAAAGATTTTTCAAGGACCAATTGAAAAGTGATTTTTTTAAATAAATTTTTTTCAAGGACCAACTGGAACGTGGGTTTTTTAAAAAATAATTTTGCAAGAACCAACTTGAACGTTTACTTTTAAAAAAATATTTTTTTTATAAGCCAATTGAAAAGTGAATTTTCTTGGGAATATTTTTTCAGGAACCAATTGGAACGAGGATTTTTTAAAAAAGATTTTTTCAAGGACCAATTGAAAAGTGTTTTTTTTAAAAAAATATTTTTTCAAGGACCAACTGGAACGTGATTTTTTTAAACCTATTTTTTTCAAGGACCAACTGGAACGAGGATTTTTTAAAAAATATATTTTAAAATACCAACTGGGACGTGGATTTGAACCAATTGATGAAGTGAATTTAAAAAAAAAAGAAAATTTCAAGAACCATCTGGAACGTGATTGTTTAAAAGAGAATATCTTTGAAAAGGACCAGAACAGAAACGTGGATTTTTTAAAGAATATTTTTTCAAGGATTATCAAAAACGTGGATTTTTTTAAGAAACATATTTTTGCAAGGACTAACAAAAACGTGGATTTTTTAAAAAAATATTTTTTAAGGATTAACAAAAACGTGGATTTTTTAACAAATTATTTTTCACGGAGCAACAGAAAGGAGGATTGTTTTGCTGAATATTTTTTCAAGGATTAACAAAAAATTGGATTTAAAAAAAGAAATATTTTCAATGATTAACGAAAACTTGGATTTCTGAAAAAATAGTTTTTGAAGGACCAACTGAAAGGAGGATTGTTTAAAAGAATATATTTGAAAAGACGAACAGAAAGGTTGATTAAAAAAATTTAATGATTAACAATAACGTAGATTTCTGAAAAAATAGTTTTTCAAGGACCAACGGTAAGGAAGATTGTTTTAAGGAATATTTTTGAAAAGGACGAATAGAAACGTGGTTTTTTTAATTTTTTTTCTTTGAAAATGACCAACTGAAACGTGGATATATTTCTTTAGGAACCGATAGAAGCGTGAAATTTTTAAAAAATATTTTTTTAAGGCTGATATGACTGTTTTTTGGAAATTCCTAATAAAAGGTACGAAAAGTACTAAAATGTACTTGAACATAATACTTTGTATTAAACGCTAGAATTCCGAAACTTCAACGAGAGTTGTTGATGTGCCAAAGGGTTTTTGGAAATTCAATCTTTATGGCTACGAAAAGTTCTCAAATGGTACTTAACATCTTAAATTATACCATTTGGTATAATGTTAAAAGATAAAGCTAAAATCTAAAAATTTGTTATTAGAATTGTTCCAGGAATATGAATGTGGTTTTGGCAATGTGTACTAAGTTTGCGAACTGTACTAAGTGGTAATTAATTTGTAACAGTTTGGGTTAAAGTGAACGGATGAAGCTGGAATTTTTGAAATTTTCTACTGAGGTGCCTTTTGGTGGTAGGTTTGTTATAAAGTATTAAATTGTACTAATAGTACTATATTTGGTACAATCCGGTATTGTGTGAACAGATAGTGATTTAAATCTGAAATTTGGTATCAGGTGTGTAACCTGGATATATGGAGTTGGTTTCGGAAGGATGTACTATAATTGTACGAAAAATACTAAATGGTACTTAATTGGGTGAAGGGATTCGGCTGGAATCTTCAAATTTGATATTGAGGCTTCTGTTAGTATCTGGAATTGAGATATGAAGGTGGTTTTGAATATGTGTACTATAACTGTACGAAAAGTACTAAATTTTACTAAAGTGGGAATTGAGTGAAGGGATAGAGATGCAATCCTTAAATTTGATATTTGAATTACTGATGGTATATATGTTTGAATTGTGGCGGTGGTTTGGATATGCGTACTATATTTGTACGAAAAGTACTAAATGGTACTAAATTTGGTATTGGGTGAAGGAGTAGGGCTGGAATCCGTAAATTTGACATTGAGGTGTCTGTTTGTTTCTGGAATTGAGATATGGAGGTGATTTTAGAAATGTGTACTACACGTGCAAGAAGAGTACTAAATAGTACTATATTTAGCACAATTGGGTATTTGGTGAACAAAAAGTGCTTAAAATCTGAAATTTGATATTGGGGTCGCTGTTCATGGGTAGCTTGGGCATATGGAGGTGGTTTCGGAAATATGTGCTATAATTGTAGGAAGAGTACTAAATGGTACTAAATTTGGTATTGGGTGAAGGTATAAAGATACAGGATAGAGCTGAAATCCTGATATTTGATATTTGGATTACTGATGGTATCCGACTTTTTGATTGGGCGATCGTTTCGAAATGCGTTCTATATTTGTATGAAAAGTACTAAATGGTACCATATTTGGTATTGGGTGAAGGAATTGGGCTGGAATCCTCAAATTTAACATTGAGGTCTCTGTTGGTATCTGGAATTGATAAATGTAGGTGAAATGTGTACTAAAAGTGCAAGACAAGTACTAAATAGTACTATATTTGGTACAATTTGGTATTTGGTGAACAAATTATGCTTGAAATCTGAAATTTGGTATTGGGGTCATGTGTAGCCTGGTTATATGGAGGTGGTTGCGGAAATGTGTACTACAATTGTACGAAGAGTACTAAATGGTACTATATTTGGTATTGGGTGAAGGGAAAGATGTATGATTCCGAATATTGATATCTAAATTACTGATGGTATCTGTCTTTGAGATTGGGTGGTAGTTTGGAAATTCGTACTATATTTGTACGAAAGAGTACTAAATGGTACCAAATTTGGTATTTAGTGAAGGGATTGGGCAGGAATCCTCAAATTGAGCCCTCTGTTGGTATCTGGAATTGATTGATATATGTAGGTGATTGTGGAAAAGTGTACTACAAGTGCATGACAAGTACTAAATAGTACTATATTTGGTACAATCTGGTATTTGGTGAATAAATAATGCTTGAAATCTGAAATTTGGTATTGGGGTCACTGTGTAGCTTGGATATATGGAGGTGGTTGCGGAAATGTGTATTGTACGAAAAGTACTAAATAGTACTAAAATTGGTTCTGGGTGCAAAGTTGAGCTGGAATCCTGAAATTTGACATGGATATCACTGTTGTCGCCTGTAGTTGAGAGAAAGAACTGGTCTTGGATATGCATACTATAATTGTACTAAATGGTACTAAATGGTACTAAATTTAGTAAGGACTGAAATTTTAGAGATAAAATTCTAAAATTTAGTATTGAGGTCACTGTTGGCGGGGCGTTGTATTTGGAAATGCGTAGGAAAACTTTACGAAAGGTATAGTAATGAATTTGAGATTGGGTCTTAGGATAGAGCTGGAATTCTGAAATTTAATGTGGAGGTCACTCTTGATATATAGTTTTCAGACAAGGAAGTAAATTTGGCAATGCATACTATGATTTTTCAAAAAGTACCGAATGGTACTAAATTTGCCGTTGAGTGAAAGAAATTTGATATTAAGGTCACTATTGGTGTCTGGGATATAGATAGGGCGGTGGCCAATTTTTATTACGAAAAGGCGTTGAAATAGTTTTGGCCAGAAAAATTGGATGTGGAACCATTGTGCAAGGATTTAGCTAATATGCTCTTCGGTAAATTTCAAATCGAAAGATATTGAAGACTTTTTGGAGGAGCAAAGGATCAACAATTTTAGGTGAAACTTTCACTGACGAAGTTGCGGGCACATGCAAGCATGTTTTAGAGGACTAACAAACCCACAGATCTTGAATTTCGATTCTTGGAACATTTTTCCAATTTTGTAGGTCAACTGTTTTCCAGAACTTTGAAATTTCGTCAGCTCCCGAGTGTCATGGATAATTAAATCGTTTATTATGAGTTATCGTTTTTTGTTGATAATTTTGCATTCATGTGGATGCGTTACGAGTAAATATCGAGAAAATGAGCTTTGTTGTTGTTGTTATTTTTTATATCTGCATTGCCTTCATTGTCGTCGTCATAATACACATCAGCTGTGCCGGCTGCCTGATTTACTTGCATTTAGTTTCGCAAACTGTTATTGTTGTTATTCAGAGCATTTGAGTTGTCATCGCGATATATATATTTTTGTTGTTGTTGTACGAATACTTGTTGGCGCTATTGCTGCTGCTGCCGGTCGAACAAGGGCTGGCTGCCTTGTTGCACTGCTGCTGATCACTTGTAAAAAGCGTGATATCTTTGCAATTTGTTGTTTGTCTGTATTGTAACCGAGAGAGCGAGAAAGAGAGTGAGAATATACAGCAAAAAAAGAAAACTATATCGACTCAAAACCATCGTCGCTTTGGATTTTCCTTCGATTCGCAATTGGATTTATAAGAAAATTATGTAAATAAATATAAAAAAAAAAAAAAAAAAAAAAAAAAAAAAAAAAAAAAAAAAACAGAAATTTAAATAAATTATCATCAACTAAACTTGACGTTCGCCTCAAGTGGCAGGCAGAGCCAATCAATAAAGCTAATCAAATGTTTATTGTGTTCTTTCTTATTTTATATAATTCTTAATTATTTTTTTTCGTTTTTTTTTGTTCTTTTTTTGCAGTGTGTTCTTCCATTTGGTGGAAATGTAATGCAAAATCCTATTGTGTTGTGTTATAGAGAAGAAGAAGAAGAAGAAAAAAATTATAAAAAATATAAAATTCCAATATATTTTAGTGCAATATGTGTTATGTAAATCGCTGCTCTTCTGCGTATCGCTTGTGATAATGGATGCAATTCTCATAACCAGCTGTAATTGGCAATTATTACGATTGCAGCCCAAGGATTTGTGGATACTGGCGGTTATTTGTGAAAATAAGGTGAGTAAAAGAGTCTTGAAAAATATAACCAAAAAAAAAAAAAATAAAATAAAATAAGTAAATAAATAAAATAAAATTATGGTAACAAATGCCTTCTGCTTCCTCAGTGAAAAATACACCTTAAGATTTTAGATTTATATCAACAGTTTGTGTTAGTCTTTCTTATACCCTTCACCATAGTATGGAGGGTATATTAAGTTTGTCATTCCGTTTGTAACACCTCGAAATATACATTTTAGACCCCACAAAGTATATATATTCTTGAGCAGCATAAAATTCTATGTCGATTTAGAGATGTCCCTCCGTCTATGGAAATCACTCTAACTTCCGAACGAAATTAAGTAGTTTGATAAAATTTTACTCAAATGTGTATTATATCTGCATGACTTTTGGTATTGAAAATGGGCCATGTAGGTCCACGTTTTGGTATGGCACCCATATAACGGTACCTCCCGATATTCGGTATTTTGATGATTTTAGCGACATTATTCACCGGAATTGTTTCAAATTTGGTATTTGAAGTTCGAAATAGGTACTACAGCCTTAGACAGAAAATTGCCTGTGCATGTCCACGTTTTCGTATAGCCCCCATACAACGGTACCTCGCGATATTCGGTATTTTGATGATTTTAGCGACATTATTTTCCGGAATTGTTTCAAATTTTGGTATTTGAAGTTCGTAATTAATGCTACAGCCTAAGACAGAAAATTGTCTGTGCAGATCCACGTCTTCATATAGCCCCCATATAACGGTACCTTCCGATATTTGGTATTTTGATGATTCTAGCGACATTATTCACCGGAATTGTTTCAATTTTGGTATTTCAAGTTCGTAATGGATACTACAGCATATAACAGAAAATTGTCTGTGCAGGTCCACGTTTTCGTATGGGCCCCATACGATGGTTCCTCCTTATATTCTGTGTTATGATGATTTTTGCGACATTATTCATCGGAATTATTTCAACATTAGTATTCGAAGTTCGTAATGGATACTGCAACCTAAGTGTCTGTGCAGGTCCACATTTTGGTATAGTACACATTTTAAAATTCACCACCAGATACCAACGGAGACCTCAATATCAAATTTGAGCATACACCCTTCACCCAATACAAAATATAGTACTGTTTAGTACTTTTCGTACAATTATAGTACACATTTCCAAAACCACCTCCATATCGCAATTCCAAATATCAACAGAGACCTCAATATCAAAATTGAGGATTCTAGCTCTATCCCTTTGCTCAGTACCAAATTAAGTACCATTTAGTACTTTTCGAACAAATACAGAACGTATTTCGACACCACCGCAAAATCTCAAACACAGATACCATCAATATTATAATTATTAAATTTCGGAATTTTATCTTTATCCCTTCACCCAATCTCAAATTGTACCGAATATAGTACCATTCAGTACTCTTCGTACAATTATAGTACACATCTGAGAAACCACCTCCACATGTTCAGGCTACACATGAGTACCAAATTTCAGATTTCAAGCATTATCGGCTCATCCAATACACCAAATTGTACCAAATATAGTACTACTTAGTACTTTTCGAGCATTTGTAATACATATTTCCAAAACCACATTTTCCAAACCACTCCTACCAGCAGCAGCGCCCCCAGGAAAGAATTTCAAAAATCTGCTTCATTCGTTCACCCTAAACCAAACTGTTCCAAATCTAGTACCATTTAGTACAGTTCGCAGCCTTAATACACATTTCCATAACCACCTTCATATATCTAACTTACCTTTCAACCTTGATTCTCATATCCATTACCAAATGGTACCATTTAGAAGTTTAGTACCATTTACGAACTTTTCGTAACTTTAAAGTTCGAATTCGTTCCACAATCCCTATTTGTAAAGGGTGATTTTTTTGAGGTTAGGATTTTCATGCATTAGTATTTGACAGATCACGTGGGATTTCAGACATGGTGTCAAAGAGAAAGATGCTCAGTATGCTTTGACATTTCATCATGAATAGACTTACTAACGAGCAACGCTTGCAAATCATTGAATTTTATTACCAAAATCAGTGTTCGGTTCGAAATGTGTTTCGCGCTTTACGTCCGATTTATGGTCTACATAATCGACCAAGTGAGCAAACAATTAATGCGATTGTGACCAAGTTTCGCACTCAGTTTACTTTATTGGACATTAAACCAACCACACGAATGCGTACAGTGCGTACAGAAGAGAATATTGCGTCTGTTTCTGAGAGTGTTGCTGAAGACCGTGAAATGTCGATTCGTCGCCGTTCGCAGCAATTGGGTTTGTGTTATTCGACCATATGGAAGATTTTACGCAAAGTTCTTGGTGTAAGACCGTATAAAATACAGCTCGTGCAAGAACTGAAGCCGAACGATCTGCCACAACGTCGAATTTTCAGTGAATGGGCCCTAGAAAAGTTGGCAAAAAATCCGCTTTTTTATCGACAAATTTTGTTCAGCAATGAGACTCATTTCTGGTTGAATGGCTACGTAAATAAGCAAAATTGCCGCATTTGGAGTGAAGAGCAACCAAAAGCCGTTCAAGAACTGCCCATGCATCCCGAAAAATGCACTGTTTGGTGTAGTTTGCACGCTGGTGGAATCATTGGACCGTATTTTTTCAAAGATGCTGTTGGACGCAACGTTACGGTGAATGGCGATCGCTATCGTTCGATGCTAACAAACTTTTTGTTGCCAAAAATGGAAGGACTGAACTTGGTTGACATGTGATTTCAACAAGATGGCGCTACATGCCACACAGCTCGCGATTCTATGGCCATTTTGAGGGAAAACTTCGGAGAACAATTCATCTCAAGAAATGGACCGGTAAGTTGGCCACCAAGATCATGCGATTACTATTTTTTGTGGGGCTACGTCAAGTCTAAAGTCTACAGAAATAAGGCAGCAACTATTCCAGCTTTGGAAGACAACATTTCCGAAGAAATTCAGGCTATTCCGGCCGAAATGCTCGAAAAAGTTGCCCAAAATTGGACTTTCCGAATGGACCACCTAAGACGCAGCCGCGGTCAACATTTAAATGAAATTATCTTCAAAAAGTAAATGTCATGGACCAATCTAACGTTTCAAATAAAGAACCGATGAGATTTTGCAAATTTTATGCGTTTTTTTTTGAAAAAAAAGTTATCAAGCTCTTAACAAATCACTCTTTATATCTACGTTGCTCTCCATCAATGTCTCTTATTTCAAATTTCACAATTTTAGCTCATTCCGTTTTAATATAAAGTATTCAATTTTTAGTGCCGTTAGTACTTGTCGTACCATATTTGTACAAATTTTCCAAACCAAGATTCTGTAAAAAATCCACGTTTCAGTTGGTCATTGAAAAAATATTCTTTAAAGAATCCACGTTTCAGTTGGTCCTTGAAAAATATTCTTTAAAAAATCCACATATCGGATTGTCCTTGAAAAAATATTATGTGAAAAGTACACGTTTCAGTTGGTCCTTTTCAAAAAGATTATTTGAAAAATCGTCGTTTCAGATGGTCCTTTTCAAAAATATTTTTTAAAAATCCACGTTTCTGAAGGTCCTTGAAAAAATATTTTTGCAAAAAATAGATGTTTCGAGGAGTCTTTGAAAAAGTATTCTTTCAAAAATAGACGTTTCGAGAGTCCTTGAAAAAAATATTCTTTAATTAATTCATGCTTCAATTGGTCCTGGACAAAATATTCTTTAACTAATCCATGTTTCAGTTGGTCCTGGACAAAATATTCTTTCAAAAACAGACGTTTCGTGGAGTCCTTGAAAAAATATTCTTTCAAAAATAGAAGTTTCGGAGGACCCTTGAAAAAATATTCTTTGAAAAATCCTCATTCCTGTTGGTATTTAAAAAAAATATTCTTTAAAAAATCCACGTTTCAGTTGGACCTTGAAAAAATATTCTTTAGAAAATCCACGTTTCAGTTGGTCCTTGAAAAAATATTCTTTGAAAAATCCACATTCCTGTTGGTATTTAAAAAAAATATTCTTTAAAAAATCCACGTTTCAGTTGGACCTTGAAAAAATATTCTTTAGAAAATCCACGTTTCAGTTGGTCCTTGAAAAAATATTCTTTGAAAAATCCACATTCCTGTTGGTATTTAAAAAAAATATTCTTTAAAAAATCCACGTTTCAGTTGGACCTTGAAAAAATATTCTTTAGAAAATCCACGTTTCAGTTGGTCCTTGAAAAAATATTCTTTAAAAAATCCACGTTTGAGTTGGTCCTTGAAAAAATATTCTTTGAAAAATCCACATTCCTGTTGGTATTTAAAAAAAATATTCTTTAAAAAATCCACGTTTCAGTTGTTCCTTGAAAAAATATTCTTTAAAAAATTCACGTTTCAGTTGGTCCTTGAAAAAATATTCTTTAAAAAATCCACGTTTCAGTTGGTCATTGAAAAAATATTCTTTAAAAAATCCACGTTTCTGTTGGTCCTTTTCAAAAATATTCTTTAAAAAATCCACGTTTCAGTTGGTCATTGAAAAAATATTCTTTAAAAAATCCACGTTTCAGTTGGTCATTGAAAAAATATTCTTTAAAAAATCCACGTTTCAGATGGTCCTTGAAAAAAATATTCTTTAAAAAAATCCACGTTTCAGTTGGTCATTGAAAAAATATTCTTTAAAAAATCCACGTTTCAGATGGTCCTTGAAAAAAATATTCTTTAAAAAATCCACGTTTCAGATGGTCCTTGAAAAAAATATTTTTTAAAAAATCCACGTTTCAGATGGTCATTGAAAAAATATTCTTTTAAAAATCCACGTTTCTTTTGGCCTTTTTCAAAAATATTCTTTAAAAAATCCACATTTCTGCTGGTCCTGGAAAAAATATTATTTAAAAAATCCACGTTTCTTTTGGTCTTTTTCAAAAATATTCTTTAAAAAATCCACGTTTCTTTTGGTCTTTTTCAAAAATATTCTTTAAAAAATCCACGTTTCTGTTGTTCCTGGAAAAGAAATATTTTTTAAAAAATCCACGTTTCTGTTGGTCCTTTTCAA